CCTTTATTTAAGCTAAATAATATGGAAGTAGAAAAAAAGAGCCAAAAAACAAATGAGGAAATAGTAAGCAAAGGAAAATTCTAAGTATCTGGAAACTCCCCCAATTTCAGCTACTCTAATATGACAGGAGAGTATTTCTCAGAAGACACTGTATCATGGAATAAATGTGAGGTAAATGAGGAACAGGAGAGGATGATAGAATTATCTTCAACTAGTTTCGAACCCATAATCTGCTTCCAGTCTGATAACTACATACAATGTGGAAAATCCCCTGCCAATAACTACTTTTCCATCCATTTCAGTGGAATGACTTAATGAGATGACATATGAATCTCTATTTTGAAACAAATTGGAGAATTCACATGGACAGCTGGCTGTGGTTCGGCTTAACCTTTATTCTACTTTTAAAGAATGAGGGAGCTAATTGGATACCAATTCTTTTGAAATATGAATATTCCAACAGAAGACAATATATCTAGCTTAGGGCTGAACTGTGATGTTGTTGATATTCTTTGAGCTTGGTTGCTTGCTTCAGATGCTTTATTACCCCAAAACCCATTATCAGTTTGAATAAGTGGGATGTTTGCTTCCCTCTTTACATAGAGAAGCTTGTCCTGAGCATATTGGTGGAGTGTGTGGTTTGCTCCTTGGCAGGCTTTGATTAGGGATTTATTTTCTGCTTAATTTTTGTCGGGTGTTAATCCCTGCTTATTTGGATGTTGGCTGCTAGAGAGGATGTGTTATGGTCTTTTTGTTTCTTTTTTAGCTTTTTTATTGTATTTTTAATTGTGTGCAAATAGTGTCTGTTGGTGGCTGATTTGTTTAAATGCAAAACTTCCAGGAATTCCCTACTGTTTTTACATTTGCCTTAGTCTAGGATGTTCACAGTTTCTCAGCTGAAACTGTGGTTGAACGCATGAGTCTAAATCGGAATGAATCAAACTGAAAAGTTTTCTATGCATATTCACTACACTAATAAGAATACGAACCAGCTCTCAAATTGAGAAATATCACCCAAATCAGCCTTCCCAAATTTCTAGAGGTTTTGAATATCAACTTCTTTAAAACTCAGGGACTAATTATAATGGATGGATAATAGAGAATTGTTTTTGTTGTTGCAATAACCCTATGACAACAGTTATTATTTTTAAAAGAAGCAAATATTATTACCTCTCATCAAATCATGTAATCACCAATATTCAAGAGAGTTTAAAACACTTTCCACCCCTCTGCCTACATCTGCTTAAGGCCTGGAGTTAACTATGACATGATGATGAAATCTTGCTGCTCCTTCAACACAACTTTTTCTTTTGGAAACTTCCTCCCTCTGCAAAAGATTGCTAGGCAGAAGGCCAGGCACCATGGCCATCCAAGAAATTGCAGTTCATTACTGCCACAATATCACTGTGAGAACCCAGCATTTATCCGCAGTTCCAACAGTGAAGTGATATTGGATATTGTTCGGCTATATGGCTTAAAATTCATTTCCCTCCTACAGGCTTCACAACAAAGCCATTTAAAGGAAAACTCATCTCCTTGTGATGGCTGTTTTTTTTTCTTGGCATTATTTATATGAGCAATAGCATATTAACTGTATTTCATTACATTTAATCCAAGTAAAAAAACCCCACACAACTGCTTTGCAATTAAAAAATCTGTAAGAGTTTCCAGTGAAAACTGATTTTTTTAAAATAAAAGAAAATGAATACTTAGAAATTAATAGTGATGTTTACATTTGAGGATTGAGAGGACTGCAAAATGCAAGATTTGCCCAGTAGTTCGACAAGGTTGGCTGGAAAAATCCAAATGGTTCCCATAGTTCACTTTTGAGGGATTCATCAATAGGAGAACAGCTGAACAACAAGACTAGTCAGTCATTTATTGTAAGAGATCTCATGTAAGAGAACTTCCTGAGAGATGAATAAGAGTCTACATCTCCCTTATGCCAGTCTCAATGGTGCTTAAAGTCAGTTACAATTTTGATTTAGATTGCAGGAATGGTATTTATAAGGAAGACTGTTGACCCACATGTCAAACATTTAATACAGCTGCCCTCCAAAACCTAGAAACTTTAATTCCCTTCCATTTGGAAGCTACAAATATTCATGTGTTGTTATGCAGAAGCATTCAAAGTATCTCTGAAAACTGAAGACAACAACAGTTGCTCACTGGTGTTAAAAACAGATTTGTTTAAAAAAAAACTCTGCATGTTTTAAACATGTAACCAGGATCAACTAGTTTCTTCCACACAATGATATTGTACACGCACTTGTTGGAACTTTCTATTTGTTCGGACTCCATATGTTCCTGACTTGAGTTCTTGAGTTTTGACTTGAGTTCTTAATGGATTTGAACATTCCTCTTAAGTTCAGATGAACCTTCAGAACTGAAGAATCTTCTTGAATGAAGAAGAACTGAAGAATCTTCTTGAATGAGAAGCGGGACATTTTCAAAGAAAAAAAACCAAGAAAGTCTTTTGGAAAAAGGACCTTTGGGACAACCATGACCTGGATGATTGAGAATATCCATAGACATTCAGATGATCTCTTTCCAACCAGTGTCAGCAAGAAATACTCAGAACTTTATTTTATTTGCAGCTTCCATATATATATTATCAAAATCATAGGAATTTTTTTTAAAAAAATCCTGATATATTACTATTTCGGAATGGTAATGCTGCAAGAGAAACTTTATCCGTGAACATGTTTTGACCTTGACACTGTTGGCTATTAGAAATGTTTTTATTCAATCTTAAGAACTATCATAATAAAAAAATGGGCCAAGGCCACATAAAATTCAAGTTTTATATTTCTGGTTGGGACAATCGGGATATTTTCTGATTTAAAAAACCTCTTCAGCCTCCACACTTAAGAGCTCCAACAGATACATTATCAAGATTATGTATGTGTGTGTGTTGTTTATGTTTGTGTAGACAGTATTTTTTTCCCCCTTCTGTGGTATACTACATGGCTGTACACCAAATTTAGAGATAAAGGGCATGCAGCTGGGTCAGTGAAAGAACCTCAACAGATGAAAAAAGCAGGTGTTTGTCAGAGAAAAGATAAGCCACTAATACTTTCATTCCTTAGGGGGAAAATGCAAAAATAGCACTTTTTATTTGGCTTCTTTTAACCAATTACATGGTTACTAAGCATGCAGATGTTAATAGCACCAAATAAGGAGATAAAAACAGGGAAGGGATAAATGAAACTGTATAGCTAGCATGCAACACGGACTTGAAAGTGTTTTCATCTTGGTGATCTTTGCTAGCCAGGTTGGATAATAACTCAAGAAGGAATGGTCTTTCCTTCCTCTCACTGACATACAGATAGACCTCAGGTTACAACTGTGATGCTCATTACAATCATAAGTGGTGATGGATGTAAATCAGGTCAGCCACGTGACCAACCAGATTTTATTAATTTTGTGGCGGTCTTTAAGCAACTGTCATAGTCATTAAGTGAATGTTGCAGTTTTCAGTGAACCTATGGTTTGCTATGGATCATTTTTGACAAAAAACAAAAGTAAAGGCCAGTTTTTGTCAAAACCATTATAAAACGCAATCCTATGACTGCGGGATGCTGCGAGTGGTCATAAATGCCTGGCAGTTATCTGAAGAGCCATCAGGTGAGCGGGGGGGGGGGGGGAAAGGCAGTGATTGGAATGTCAAATCTGGGTCATATTGTAACTTTGATCAGATGTTAAAGTAACTGACTGTAAGTCAAAGATTACCTGTAGATTCTAGCCCACCCCCTCCAACATTGCTGAACAATATACACATTCAGATGTGTGTGAGTTAGATCATTTAAAAGGGAAAAACTGTTCATGTTTAAAACTAGACAAGTTAGTCATTCTCCACCCAGTGGGCAGGTGAATGACTAACGGTAAAATTTAGAAGCATTTCACTGGAGTGTTTTTGATCCCCATTCCTGCAATCATCCCTGACAGCCTAGCAGTGCAGTCAGAAAAACTTTGCACCATGATGCTTCTTGAACCAAGCCATGCCATTCAGACTACTGAGGCATGAGTGAGCATTGCATTTTTCAACTGTAATTTATTTTGCAGAGCAAAAACGAGTGTGGTTTTGCTCCTAATAACTAATTGATACTGGTAGGGAATTTTTATGCAGTCTTTCCTTATGTCAGAAAAAGGAAATGTTTCAACAACAACAAAAAAAAGGGTACTGCAGAATCTGTTTTATCTCTAGAGGAACAAAGAAAAAAAAATCACAGAAATGCCAACTGTCCTTGAAGAAAAAACAACATTCAACTTCTTCTGGTGTTTATTGTGCATAATAGGAGGGAAGAATAGAAAACCCCAGACCCAGCCTCTATTTTACACACATAACACACGAAAGGAGGAAATGTCATTACCATATCTATTTCTATATCAGGTTTTTATCTTTGGTATAAATTTTTGGAATGGATTTAACCTTTGTTGAACTACTTCCATTCATGACTGAAACAAATATCCGCTTGCTACATTAGACCTGTACACGCACACAAACACACCAACATTCTAGAATATATTAATCCATTCACTTAGAAATTGACAGATCCAATTTTGTGTATTTCCTTTCACTAAACTATATGAAAAATTATACACAACTATACTAAACCCCTTGACTTGCAGAGGAATATTCAATACTGTTTGTTTATGTGGTATGAGACCCAGTTTTTTCACTCTTAAAATATTTAAGTTGATGCTCATGATTTCTCTCAATTACCAGATACTTGCACATTCTTATTTGAAACCATAAGAATACCCAAAGGCCAAAGCTTATTGGGAACAGTGCTTCAAAAATGCATAGTTTGCTGGAATGCAAGAAGAAAGAACTCATAAAACCAATATCGTATAAAAAATAAAAGGCTAGGATTTATGCATAATTTACAGAATCAAGCATCTTAAACAATCCTTAACATTCAATCCTTTTTTCATACTGCAGACATGAAAACATTGGTTAGTACTCCCCCCCCCAATATCAAAAAAAAGATACACACCTGACATCCACTTTTCGCCTAAATGAAAGCATGAGGAACAGGATAAAAGAGAATGAAAGAGAAACAGACAGAGCTTAGATTAGAAGAAGTGTAGTTTTAGAACATTATTGAAAGTGAGAACAGTAGATTGGACTGATCGTTTCCCTTTTTTATTGTGGAAACAAGGCATTTTATAGTGGGCATCTCCCTCCCACGCACTTTCAATGCTGATCTAGAATGTTTTAAAATTGCTTTCTTCAGGAAGAGACACCTTCATCCCAATTTCACAGTGACAATCCAGAAAAAAAAACATTTCATAAAAGTAGGAGAGTATGACAGTGAAACAATGTTTATTTGCAACTGGATGACAATATTGATGGGCTTACTATATATTTTTCCTTTTTTTTCTTTTGCAGGTGTGGAGATAGTTGGGCTGGCTGACCTGTCTCTGTGGTACAAAGTGGATCATTGTGTTAAGTCCAATATATTGGTTTTTTATAGTAGAGCCAGGACATCTCAAAATAGGAGAAGACTGCTCCCTGATGCTTCAACTGAGATATAAGAATCCAATGTATTTGTCTAATAAAGGACAACTTACTGAGGTCCTTTGGCAACACTACAGATGTCCTGCAGGGAGGGGTGATGCATTATGTCCAAGAGTTTGAAGTGGTTGTACTTCTTCCTATTCTCCATGGAATAGGCTTATTCTAGATTACTTAACCTAGCCTGATTCAGGTCTTGATTCCCCTGGAGACTATAGTTGTTGAAGCTTTGCAGTCCATGATGGGCTGTTTTATAGATACTACAAGACTGTCTGAGACTCTTCTCATGCAGATCTTGATGGCACATCTAACATTTAGTTTGTGTCATTCTTTCTTTAGCTAGATATTGCATTTGTAGCCAAAGGAAGAAACAATTGTTTCCTGGCCCTGTTGAAAGACATAAAATTTGGGTCCAGGTTCATACTGATGGAATCTGGCTAGATGATGTGATTAAGGCTAAGAGCTACTTCTGATGCTCAGCTGGAAGACGTATTGACTAAGATGGTCTGTATGAATTCAATATCATATCCTAATTCATGTGGTATTCAAACTTTGTCTCTAGGAGTACAATTGTGGGATCCATGTGGATGATTTGGTTAGAAGGTCTGGTGCTCCACTGGGAGACTCTGTGTTGGGATGCTGACAAGTCTGGAATATTCTCAGGGTGAGCCATACTCCGTACACTTCAAATAAATGTATCCTATCTTTTGCTTTTTTTTCCCACCCAGACTTTGTGCTCTACAAAATTTAGGAAGTGAACCCTGTCTCATGTTCCCTCATCCTAGTATCTATAGTGAGTTAGATATAGTAAGAAGGCCATGTCTCTCCCCTTGAAGCAGTCTTCTGATAACCAATACTTGAGAGTATTTCTCAGTTTTGCAGGTGAGAGATAAAGCTCCTTTTTAGCCCTCAGTCTCAAGATATCATTCAGGGCCTCTCCAAATACTTTGCCACTACTGATAGAAGGACTGACTTTAATTCTGAGCCCATGTTGTAGTGTTTCAATGAAAGTTTTTCCCTAATGGCCACGTTGGGTACTATGCCTCTGGCTGAAAAATGGATCTTACCCAGGTTAATCTCCACAACGAAAGAGCCAGACCCAATTATGGGTTCCTATCTATGATCTATGAGGAGTAAGCAAGATTAAGTGTTTGGTCCATAATATAGAGGCCATAAGCTAGATTTAATGCCATAGCTCATCCTGCCTTGCAAAATCTCCATTTTGATATCCCCCTCCCTTAATGGATCTGAAAAGGGCTCCTTAGGGTTGCATCTTTAGGAACCATTGATAATGTAGTATTACACAGTTTCAAAATAATAGTGAATCTAAAGGTTAAAAGAATTTTGTGAGACTGATTTGGTGGTTATGAAATGGAGAATACAGACATTCAAATCTGCTTAGCTCAGGAGACTCTTATATTGACATAGTATAACAAAATCTGATTCAAAATTGTAGAATCACAGAATTGTAAAGTTGGAGAGGGCATATAGGCCATCTCATCCAATATTCTTCCATTCAGCGTGCTAATCTAGATTAAAGCATTCCCACTAAATATCTGGCCAATTTTTGCTTAAAGCGGTTCACTAAATGAGATCTCACTGCCTATCATAGTTCTCCCCCATTCTTTAGCTCCATTTTTTCTTTATTTAGTGCTCTTAATCATCTTCATACAATAACAAACCAAACATCCAGTCTGGATACGTTTTGGCTATTAACTAAAATCCTAGTAACTCTCAAGGTGGACATTGTGGAAAGAACTTTATACAGAGAAGTATAACATTTGCTACACAGAACTTTATACAGAACTTTATACAGAGAAGTATAACATTTGCTACAATGCTCTCTTTATAAGAGAGAAGAAGAAAAAGGAAATTAATTAACCCGCAGACTTTCATAAATGTCTCTTGTTGTTCAAAATAACTGTAAGAAAGAAAGGAAGAAGGCTTCAAGCAGAAATTCCGATATGTTTCAGGGAGATGAAATGTTTGGATAGAGCCTGACAGTTCCCGCACGCTTTATAGTACACCAAATCGGAGAAGCATATGGTAGTGCCCCATTCTCTTAATTTGACTACATTTGCTATTTTTTAAAAAATATGTCTAGACAGAATACTCCTTAGAATGCTATTTTCTGTGTTAAAATTTCTATTAGCATAAATTGGGGTGGACAACCTGTATCTTTCAAAATCATCCATAATTATAATTCTCAGCATCTCTCATCCTGGACTGGGAAGACTAAAGTTGCAGTTTAGCATAGCGGTCCCCAACTTTTTCACCTTGGTGGCCCAGCCTGGTATATATGTGTGGGCGTATGAGTGGCAGACACACTTGGTACAAGTGGCAGGCACATGTGTCCTCCACTCGGGCCAAGGGAGTTTCACTTGTGAAGCTCCACTTGCGCAAGCAAAGAGTGCTTACACGTGAAGCCCAATTTGCATGAACGCCGTCCGCTCACATGAGTGGAGCTCCATGTATGAGCACAAGCGCCCTCCACTCAAGCACCTCCGCTCGTGTGAGTAGAGCTTTGTACGTGCAGCCCAGTTTCAAACAGGCAGCGGCCTGGTAGTGAGCCATGGCCCGGGGGTTGTGGACCTCGGTTTAGCAGCACCAGACGATATATAGAGAGTCCATCATTTTTAAAAAAAATTCTTCAGTTGCTGAATTTCAGATGAATTTAAGCTGGATAACAAAATTTAACTCATCAAGGTCTATTACAAAGATAACCGATTCCAATGGACTTGAAAATTGCTTAGAGTTCTTTTTAATACCCATGCTGCAGATTACAATAAGTGGTTTCTACATAATATATTAGAGAGAAGCTTTATATTTGAATCACTGTAGCATTTTAGTAGAGAAAACTGGCTCAACACCTATACCAAATACAAAAGTTCTTATAGTGACAAAAAGTACTTACGTGTTATTGAGGATTTGGAGACGTTCTCCTTTTTTGAAAGAAAGATCTGATTCTGTCCGTGACTCATAATCATAGAGGGCCACAAATGTTGTGACTCCACCTGGAACAATATATTCACACAATGAACACCAGTCCACAAGAAATTAATCAGCATTGTTATTGCATTATGAAAGCATATTTAGTGAATCTTTTTTGAAAGGAACTCTGTAGATTAAGTTCTATCTGTGTAGGAACCATTTCTGTGTATTTGACCATCTTCCTTTTCTAGATACTAATATTCATAAGCAATGGAGTATTCTGCTTCTCCTTTTAATGTAGTCATTATTCAATAATAATTAAACATTGCAATTTTGGTATCTTTACTATTTCATGTATAGAATCGTAGGATTGAAAAGGACCTTGAAGGTCTTCTAGGCCAGCTCCTTGCCCAGGGCAAGACCATCCCAGACAAATGGCTGTCTAATCTTTGCTCATAAAGCTCTAATAATTCAGTACTTTCAACTCTGGGAGATGTGCTTAACAGCTATCCTGGTTAGGAAATTCCTACTTATTTTGAGTTTGGATCGTTGTATTATTGGAAATTCAAAAGAATAGCTTCTGCAAACACAAAAGTTAAAAACATGTGGTTGGCTATATTTGTACAACACATTGAATGTGGAGGTTGACCTCATAAATATATTAAATCAGTATCTTGGCTACTTAATATCTCAGTGAATTGTGCTAATGCAGTCATTATGTAATACCTATCCAGCCTCTGTGCGTAATTTATAATTTACTATTCCATAAAAGCCTAGAAACTGGGTTAATTGACGAAACCATGGGGAAGTCTTGAAAGTGCACTTCACATTCATTCAGCCATTAACAAAGAAACCCTTTGATGCAGTTCCACAAAATGAAAAACTTTCTTCTTCTAGACACAATAGTAGATCCAATGCACTACATCAAAACAGCTGCTTCACTGGTTTCAATTGTCCTCTGCCCATGCTGGCATCTGTTCAGAAGACATTTCCACCAAAACAAAAAATCTGGGCAGAGAGGTGGAGTTTGCCACAACATTTCAGTTGGAGCTGCCAAGGAAGAGCATTTTGCTTTTTTCTATGATGTAATCTTGTTTTACATGATACAATCCAACCACAGCCCTAATAAAGCAAATCACGTTAATTTAACTTTTGATCACTGCATCCTCTTAACTCTAACCGGTAATCCACAGTTTTAGACATAAAGGAAGTATATTTCAGATGACCAAAATAGTTCTAGATTAAAAGTTCTCCTGTGACAGAAAACATACTGACCAGCTAAAGTGCCACAGCGCTGAGGAGAAGTGACCATATCTGATGTATTTGATCCCCCAAAGAGCTTTGGTTCTGTAGCTGTATTTCCAAATAACCGACTAGGAGTACGATGAGTTTCTGGTATAGAATCGTAGGATTGAAAAGGACCTTGAAGGTCTTCTAGGCCAGCTCCTTGCCCAGGGCAAGACCATCCCAGACAAATGGCTGTCTAATCTTTGCTCATAAAGCTCTAATAATTCAGTACTTTCAACTCTGGGAGATGTGCTTAACAGCTATCCTGGTTAGGAAATTCCTACTTATTTTGAGTTTGGATCGTTGTATTATTGGAAATTCAAAAGAATAGCTTCTGCAAACACAAAAGTTAAAAACATGTGGTTGGCTATATTTGTACAACACATTGAATGTGGAGGTTGACCTCATAAATATATTAAATCAGTATCTTGGCTACTTAATATCTCAGTGAATTGTGCTAATGCAGTCATTATGTAATACCTATCCAGCCTCTGTGCGTAATTTATAATTTACTATTCCATAAAAGCCTAGAAACTGGGTTAATTGACGAAACCATGGGGAAGTCTTGAAAGTGCACTTCACATTCATTCAGCCATTAACAAAGAAACCCTTTGATGCAGTTCCACAAAATGAAAAACTTTCTTCTTCTAGACACAATAGTAGATCCAATGCACTACATCAAAACAGCTGCTTCACTGGTTTCAATTGTCCTCTGCCCATGCTGGCATCTGTTCAGAAGACATTTCCACCAAAACAAAAAATCTGGGCAGAGAGGTGGAGTTTGCCACAACATTTCAGTTGGAGCTGCCAAGGAAGAGCATTTTGCTTTTTTCTATGATGTAATCTTGTTTTACATGATACAATCCAACCACAGCCCTAATAAAGCAAATCACGTTAATTTAACTTTTGATCACTGCATCCTCTTAACTCTAACCGGTAATCCACAGTTTTAGACATAAAGGAAGTATATTTCAGATGACCAAAATAGTTCTAGATTAAAAGTTCTCCTGTGACAGAAAACATACTGACCAGCTAAAGTGCCACAGCGCTGAGGAGAAGTGACCATATCTGATGTATTTGATCCCCCAAAGAGCTTTGGTTCTGTAGCTGTATTTCCAAATAACCGACTAGGAGTACGATGAGTTTCTGGAATGGTGGTCTTGCTGGGCGTTTGAGAGGTAGAGCAGCTGCCATGTATATTTTCTGTGGAGTCCAAACTGCGTCTCCGTTGGCTAGGGTCTTTGGGTTTACTTTTACTGCTCCCCATGATCCAAGCTGCAAGAGAAGAAGACAGCAAAGGGGATATTATATTTTTTGCTGTGGATGGTAGGCTCTTAGATTCTGGAAGACACAACAGGTTTTCTGACTTGTTCGATGGCCAGGTCAAAAATTAAACCATTAGGATGAACTGGCTGCTTTAAAAGAAGCACACTCTGTTCTGGCAATTATTTGTTCAGAGCAACCTGAGTAGACATAGGAAAGCTTTTATTTTGGTTACTGTCCATAGTTTTGGACTTATTGCTGATTCTTGAAACACAAAAACAGAAACTACCTCTGTTATTCCATGAACATATCCTTACAAATGTTTACTTAAGTAACTAGGTTCTGCTTGATTTTCTAGGCTTTAATTTCAGCTTGAATAGGTAAAGAAAAGGGTTTCAAGGACAAAAGAAGGAATATAAATCTTCATTTGGATTTTCAAAATTTGGCCAGCATAATCATATAGTCCATTTAGCTTCATAATCTATATATGCCCTAAAGCTCAGCTGCTCTGGATAAAAGCTTAAAGTAGGTTCAGGCTTAGGCCTGACTGAGCATATTATTAAAGGCATCTTTCCCAGAGGGTTGCTGCTGAAGCACATTTACCTATGTAGTAAACAAGGGGTGAGTTTGACCTCTTCCTGACATGTTTTCAAGGACTTTGGTTCAAATATAGACAGTAACAAAAAAAAAAACAGTGTTTTGGAGTCACATCAGCTCCACCAAAGAATAAAGCAAGAGAAGAATTATGCCCTCAGCCCAAGGTAGTAGCAAAGTAAGTCAAACATATTGTCTCAAACCACATCATACAGCTAAGGCTACAAATCAGATAAGAGATATAGCTTTTTTAATCATGCAATAATGAACATCACCAAGAAATCATGTCCATTTTTCATTATGCTATATATTTTTTGGCTTTGAAAAGATCCCTAAGCATTTTGAATGGTGATCTAATTCATAGGCTGAGTTCAAACATCAACCAAGGATTGTTTGTTTCTACTTGGCTTAGCATGATGATTGAACCTATAATCTTTTGTAAGATTATAGGTTCAATGGTTCATGGTTGGAATGTAATGTGAGAAGCAAACCAATTGGTTTATTGAATCACACTCTGTTCTGGCAATTATTTGTTCAGAGCAACCTGAGTAGACATAGGAAAGCTTTTATTTTGGTTACTGTCCATAGTTTTGGACTTATTGCTGATTCTTGAAACACAAAAACAGAAACTACCTCTGTTATTCCATGAACATATCCTTACAAATGTTTACTTAAGTAACTAGGTTCTGCTTGATTTTCTAGGCTTTAATTTCAGCTTGAATAGGTAAAGAAAAGGGTTTCAAGGACAAAAGAAGGAATATAAATCTTCATTTGGATTTTCAAAATTTGGCCAGCATAATCATATAGTCCATTTAGCTTCATAATCTATATATGCCCTAAAGCTCAGCTGCTCTGGATAAAAGCTTAAAGTAGGTTCAGGCTTAGGCCTGACTGAGCATATTATTAAAGGCATCTTTCCCAGAGGGTTGCTGCTGAAGCACATTTACCTATGTAGTAAACAAGGGGTGAGTTTGACCTCTTCCTGACATGTTTTCAAGGACTTTGGTTCAAATATAGACAGTAACAAAAAAAAAAACAGTGTTTTGGAGTCACATCAGCTCCACCAAAGAATAAAGCAAGAGAAGAATTATGCCCTCAGCCCAAGGTAGTAGCAAAGTAAGTCAAACATATTGTCTCAAACCACATCATACAGCTAAGGCTACAAATCAGATAAGAGATATAGCTTTTTTAATCATGCAATAATGAACATCACCAAGAAATCATGTCCATTTTTCATTATGCTATATATTTTTTGGCTTTGAAAAGATCCCTAAGCATTTTGAATGGTGATCTAATTCATAGGCTGAGTTCAAACATCAACCAAGGATTGTTTGTTTCTACTTGGCTTAGCATGATGATTGAACCTATAATCTTTTGTAAGATTATAGGTTCAATGGTTCATGGTTGGAATGTAATGTGAGAAGCAAACCAATTGGTTTATTGAATAAACAATAGCTAAATAAACAATGACATAAAACAAAATATGAATTCAGTTTTGAGATGATTGAAAAAGATGATAAAGATAACATGCAATCTATACCCCATTATTTTAACAGATGGTTTTGGAAGATACATTGTACACAAGGATACTTGAAATCCATTTATTAGAGACTGCTACCCAATCACACAAGAATTTCTCTGCTAACAACTGCCCTAAACATATGTTGTGTATTTATGATCCTGTTTCTCTGTCTTTTTGTGTTGGCTAAGTATGGCCAACACACTTAACTAGAGCATTGAAATTTCTAGGTTTACATAATACATTGAATCATTGGCTAATCAAAGTCCTGGGTTTGCACATGAGGCTAAGCCACACATATAATAAGATTCAAGTTAAACAAGGTTAGTTATAGTATACTGAAGAATTAAACCACTAGGTTTTTTGCTGATCTGTTTAAGCATAGTTCTGTGGATGCAGCCATTCTAGGTTTCTTATATATTCCAAGGAATATGCTTTAAAAGCAATTTTAAACTTTTATCTCACTTTGTTTAATGACCTTGCAGCAACTGATTTCACTGATGTTGTGAATCAAACATGAATGTTTGACTCAAGAGAGGAATTCCTTTTCTCCTTCTGCTTGCCAGTTTTTAAACAAAATGAGGTGAAGTAGTCTGCTATCTCAAAGTCTGGTTTCTCACTGATCTGACATGGCATAATAATGGAGCCTTTCCTGCAGCTGATTTACTAACGAGGACAAGTCCAAACTGGTAGTCTTCAGAGAAAAAGACTGCAAAAGGACAAGCTGACTGCTGCAATGAATTAGATGTTTTTTGTCCTGATAGTAAAGCCATCAGTATGAATTTGTTATAAAAAATATGGCCAGTATTGTATTATTTTAATTGCATTTACTAGCAAGCAATAATGGGATTTGTTTAGTAAACCTATCCATTGTTGAAGGAATAAACAACATGGCATCACATTTTACCTCCAGCTAAATAATAAGAGGAACCTAAATGGTTCCACCCTGCACATTCTTTGGTGAATACCTAATTTTGGAAAGGCATGAGTGTGTCCCCCAGATGAATGCCTGAAAAGATAGAATGTTTTATACAACTTTCCCATGCAATTTCATTCAAATAAAGGCTGAACTGGCATAAACTAAGCTGCACCTTTATAATAGAATATTATAGAATAATGAGGAACATTGGTTTAACCCCTAGAAAAGAATCAAAAATAATGAGGAGCATTGGTTTAACTCCTACAAAATTTCCAATTTGCTGGCTAGATTTAGAATATCAGTGAGTGTTATCAGTAATTAGATCAAGCAACTCTCTTTCCCCAGAAGCTGGCTTCCATTCAACATTTTATAAAAATGAGAATTGCTCAGAGAAGGAGCAAACAAACAAACATTCAGTTCTATATCTCTGGGCTTTGGCTAGCAAGATCCAAATATCATTTTAATTATTTTCCTAGAATTAGACTGAAGGAAGATGTCCTGAGGGAAAAGGCTAAGAACTCCACAACTAGACAACCTAGGAAGCATCTCTAGTAGTATGGTATTATTTTGTGGAGAATCCTTGAAAAAAGAGATTTATGAGAAAGGCTTAAATTTCCACTCATCCCAATTTGTAACACAGGGTATAGAAAGGTATGAAGGTATTTCTGTACTTTAAATAAATAATTATTAAGCCCAGGATGATTTAATGTTGAAGAGGAGCTTGGTGACATTTTGCAGAAAATGCTACACTCAGCCCTATCACCCTAATTCTTTATTTATAGGGGCATCCTGAGAAATAGAAGTTATGTATGATTTCTCCCTCCTAGCCTCCACTCTTCATTTGCAAAATCTACATTTGCAGAGTAAGTTCTGATCTATCATTTCAGTGGGCTTCAGAATCAAGCAAATTTGTATCTATGACTACAACAGGCATTAATTTCTTCCTGTTGCTCTTAATGCCAAACCTCTAATTATTTACTTCTTGGAGTTGTTGTAAGGTTGCTTCCAACCCTCCTCAAGGTACTTTTAGCACTTTTTCTTTTTGTTAGTTGTGCACTTTGCCATTCAAGTGATACTTGAACTAAAGTTGTGAAGATATTTTAAACATAAAATGAGCAAAGCTCTGATTAAAGCATTATACAAATTATGCTAGTGAAAAGAAACAATTCATGCAGGATCCAATCTGGGTCAGTCATTAGGATCAAAGTTTTAGTCTTCTGAGCTTTCAGCCCATCCTCAGGGAATTTCTCTCTCACCAGAATATGTGCTTTGGGAGATTCTATCCATAGTATTTATGTGCTGCCTGGTTGTGTATGGCTTTTTAATTGTTGATTGGGGAGTTGATGGCCAGTTATTACATTGTTGGCTATTTGCTTCCTTGTGCTACCAAATCTTGGCTCCTAAGTAGTTGATAAGCTGATGGTAAATCAGCACTCCTGTTGATTGACCAGGGGCCTGCTTCCCAGGCTTCAATCATTTCGCTGGCTATTTTTGTACCTGCCTGGCCAACATTTTTAGTAGCTGTGAAACTGAATGTATGTCCTTGTTCATTGCAATGTGAGGCTACCAATGAGTTCTCATCTGACCACTCACTTGTACTTTTGCAACCTAGTGGTTAGCTTCCTCCCCATCTGTCCTACATAGTCACAGGGGAGCTGGTAGATTCTAAAGTTCAGAATCCTAAACCTCTGGTCTAGGTGACCAACCCAGATTGGATCCTCAGCATTATCCTGAGACATATATATTTGCGTTTATTCAGAACAATTCATCCCTAATGCTGCTATAAACAATATCCAATATTTCCTAATAGATTATCCTGATGGAGTCTTCCTTCCATTTACCTTCCATCAATGACAGCATCTATGAATGTATATGTTTATGTATGTATGTACTATATATGAATTTGAATATGTATGTATGTATGTATGAATAACAGAAGTGTTCCCAATTTTGACAATGAAAATAGGATTATAGAAGTACCATATTTTGGAATCCCTCCTTTGGAAAAATAATGTAAAATGATTGCTCTTGGAAGAAGAAAGGCACAACAAAATAAATCTAGGAAAGTCATAATAATGCCAACTTTCTTCAATGTCTCTTTCATCAGTTTTAAAACACTTGCCAATTCTCTCTTAAAAGGCCATGTTAACACTAGAGCTAGAATTAAAGGATAGAGCATAAGCTCCTTACACATACACACCACATTTGTAAATCACTGACAGAAGGAGGAGGAGGCTGACTGCTTTTGTGACCTTTCATGCATGAAGAAGGGACAATTCTCCGCTCCACTTCACTAAGTCAGTAGGACAAGAAAAGGAGGTGAAGGTTGATAGCCCATGGCTATCAACCAAGCTTATGCAGCAAAGTCTTTGATAAAGAAATAATGCCATTTTATCTAGAACCCACAAGGTTATCCTGACAGGTAGAAATCAAAACAAAAAAAAATCTAGCAAAGCCAGCATTTTTAATGTTGTGGGTAAAATTCCTGAGTTACTTCTTGTACAAAATTGTGTTTCACATAGAATCAGGGTTGAAAGACCCCATGAGCACATTCATTTTTGATAAGCCTACAAGATGAAGAATAAGGTAGATCTTCTGCCTTAATTTTTTTTTATAGATTCTCCCAAAGCCTTTGACGAATTGTTGATGGAAAAAATAGGCAAAATTGCCTGGGTCTTGCCTGGCCACAGTATTCCTCCACACTGTGTGTTTTGCTAGTTCCATTCTTCACAATTGTGTCTTTTATAGGAATTAGTAAAAGCACTAGCTCTTCAAATAGCTATATATTAAAGGAAGAGGAACTGCAGTATTTTAAGCCTTATTTGTTTATTTAGGTGGTAGGTCCTGCTGTGTTTGAAAGGAATCATTTTATTTAATACAGATTTATCACTAGGAAGTTAGCCCTGACAATCATTACGAGCAGCTAGCTATTTCTAATTAAAAATAAAATTTTAAAATTGTCCTCTTCGCCTCTCTCCCTCTTTCCAAACACACAAACACAGACCCACTTCATAAGAAACAAGAGGCCAGAGTCAATAAAATCAGCACACTCTCTGAAACTGCAATCAACAGCAGGGTTATAAATTAGAAAGATTTGATTTGAATCTTTCCTCTGGCTATCTTATTTTATACATAAAACTATGTCATTATTTGTTTCAGTTCCTCTGCAGTTAAGCACCACAATTATGACTCTCTTTAGTCATCTTTAGTTTGTTTTCAGCAGCGCCCAGGAGAAATGAGAGAAGAATACCGTGGTTTATCTGTCTCAAAGCATATTGGAAAAAATAAATGATTTATCACCAACAACAATGCTTTCAAATCATAAAATAAATCAGATCCAAATAAGTTCTTCTTTCTTTCTTGGGGATAGGCTACATTATTAAGAGAAGCTAAAACAACATACTGTAACAAATTGTGTTTGATATAAGCTTGGCTTAGCTATATATGTCTCCACTGATCTACCTTACAGAGCTTCTGGAAAAGATACAAACTTGGAACTGGTTAAAGTAGAAGGTTACATCTGAAAATAAATACCCAAGTGGATCAGCATCACATTTTCTTTTATCTAAAATTTTCTGAGAAATATTCAGAGAGAGGTCTCCATCTTTTTATAAATAGTCATTAGTTTATTTAAAAATATCTGACCCAAAGCTCTAAGTTGAGTAAGAATACTTTAGTTATGGGGGGAACAAATCTAAAATCTGGAATGTTATAGAGTAACCTATCCCAAATAGGTACTCTTATGAGTTTTGAACTCCAAAATGTTTTGCCATTAGGCAAGCGGATTTATAGTCCAAAACATTAGGAGGGCACTAGGGTACAAAATATATTTATATAGAGAGTATGAAAGGATTGCTAAGCAGTATCCCCAAACAATTACAGTATTGTTAAAGATGGGTCTTTGGAAAGCTTCCTAATAGGCTGGAAGCTATCATAAACCGTCTCTGATGCATCATCAAGAAAATGGGCAATGATTAAGCTTGAGCATGGAGATCTTCTGGTCAACAAAGATATAAGGAAGAGGACACTTTATCTGAACCTAAATTTGAGACTTTCACACCTTTCTTGACATAATTTCTTTTATTTTGACACAGAATGTGTCCTGTATAGTGTTTGCTGTTATATTGGTCAATATATAACAATAGTAATAGCACTTGTCAATATATAGCAATAGTAATAGCACTTAGACTTATATACTACTCAATAGTGCTTTACAGCACTCTCTCAGCAGTTTACAACATCAGCATATTGCCCCAACAATCTGGGTCCCCATTTTACCAACCCCAGAAAGATGGAAAGCTGAGTCAACCTTGAACCCGTCAGGATCAAACTCCTGGCTGTAGGTAGTACAATACTGCATTCCAACCACTGTGCCAATTACTATGATCATATTTTGATCATAATAACCGAAAACATCACACAAGATATATACTGTGGGGGAAAAAGATGTTTGTTTAGGAAACTTAGGACATTGCATTGTATTTTCTTTATATAAAATGCTGTTTCAGGAATATGTTTTCCTAGGTTGCTTCCTGCAGTCTCTTCTGAAGGATAGAGCATAGGAGCCAACAATTAAATGGGAACACTAAAGCCACCTGGACTTTAGAAGCCAAGGCTACTGATGGGTTTACAGGTTCCAGAATGCATGGTAGCAAAAAAGTGTGATCTGCAGATTGCAAAGAAGGAACAACACAAGATGATTCTAAGATAGCCTTCCCAAAATTGGTGCCATCCAGATGCATTGAACGTCAACACCTGGAATCCCTCAGCCATGCAGCCAACAGCCATGCTGGTAGGGAGTTAGTCCAACATCTCAAGAAGACATCAGGTTGAGGAAAGCTATATTCTGGGCAAGAAATAGTGTTTAAAGCAGTGACCCCCAACCTTTTGGGCACCAGGGACTAGCTCAGTGGAGAGAGGTTTTTGGGGGGACCAAAGTGGGCATGGTTTTGCATGCTGCCTGCATCCCATGGATGGGGCTTCACTTGTTTGCATGGCCCAGTTTCTGGCATGCTGCAAACCAATGCCAGTCCCCAGAGTGGGGATTGGAGAATCCCTGATCTAAAGGATATCTGTTAGCACAACATTTCTGCGTAGTTACTTGAGCAACTGAACATCAGGTCCAGATAAATGATTTTTCAGTCTTGGAATTTCCTTTATTAATTAACCATCCTTTTGCCAGACCCCCATCCCACCCCATATCATCAAGGGCTAATTCAATGACAGGGTACTAACAGGTCTGCAGAGATTGCAGCATTATTCCCAGGTTGAATCACTAAAACATGACCCCCCCCCGCGTGGAATAAATACTTCAAAGTGAGCAAATTAAGCAAATTAGTGCATTTTCAGGACTATTGTACACAAGGGTGTCAAAGAGAGTTGTACTCTCACAGATTAAAAAAACATTTTGCAAGCTTATGTGGTGGCTGTGAACTGCAGCAAAACAGAACAGTTACTTTATTTTACTGTGCCATATTTTTTCCAACAATTTCTCCAAATTTTTAAATGGTGCTTGATTAGGAAATAAGTACCATTTGACTGACAGCATTTTAAAAAAGGATGTTTTATAATTGTACTTAAAAATAAATGTACTCTGCGAAGGTAGGCCATTTGAATTAAGTATTTCACCAAATGATTGCAGTATATACAAATAAGCCCAGCCCTTTTATCTGGATTTATGACATTGTATTTGACTTTAAATAAAGAACATCTTGATACCAAGACTGAATCTTCTCTTTTTTAGTGATGCCCCTACAGCTAGGGAGGAGGTTAATTATTATTGGAATTCTTATTTGCAAATTGAAATGATACAGTCCAAATAAACTTCTATTAGCTCACCTGTATATACAGACTATAAATAACATATTAAGTTATTCTAACCTCTGCATTTCTTTACATTAATAAAAAGAGATAACGCTTCCCTTTAGAAAGAAACTAGGCCAGAGCAAAGAAATAGAAAGGTCAAGATAATATCTCAACTAAATCTGATAGATGTAAATAACATTTGTAGTAAATTAGTAGTATGTTTACTCTTCATATATCTTCAATTCAATAGTGTCAATGGGAAGGGAAGGTCAATACATGCAAGACAATGTTGTGGATCCATGTAGCATCATGACTGAAGGTCCATTGTTTGACACATGTCTGAGATATTGATGCCCATATCAAAGGAGCAGGACTTCAAATACGATGTCACAACTACCATCTTGCCTGTTTTGACACACATAAATACAGAGACACACACCACAGAGATCACAAATCACCTAAGCATGTTTCTGTTTATGTATAACCTTTTCATGAGATCCTGCTGTCTGAGCGAATGGTTTTGTATGCTGCTTGATGTGGAGCCAGACCTTCTCTATGGTGACACCTGTGTTATTGAATGACCACCCTTCTGCTTTAATCCAACACAAATGTGATGTTTTGTTACATTGACTGATTACGTGCTGTGGGTTGGAGTCAGTTCTTAGCAACTACATAGGGAGATTTTCTCCAGGATGATTTGCCTCCAACTTGGTTCTTCAGGTCTTCCAAAATATATCCCTCCCTACTGTAATTGAGCCTATAAACCTTCCTACTGTTATTTTCTTTATCTCTTTTCTTCCATCTTTCCCAATATTGTACACTTCTCCAGAGAGTTACGTTTTCACATAATGTGTCCAAAGTATGGCAATTTGAACCTGGTCTTTTGGACTTCAAGTGAGAACTTGATTTGTTTTGATGATCTATTTGTTTCTTTGCCTCGCTATCAACTGTTTGTGAAGAATCTTCTTCAACATCAAAGCACAAAATGTTCTTTTTATCCTGTTTCTTCAAAGTCCAATTATAGGCATCTCTTTAAAAACCCAGTTTTTATGTTGCTGGGTTGTTGTTGTTTTTTTGCAACTGCAGCTTTCTCTAACCATTCTACTTCAATGGACTTTTTTTTTACTTATTTACACTGTTTTTATTTTGCTTTATCCCTAAATTCAGTATGCCATTTTGGGATTATTTTTTTTATAACAAGAAGTGCAGAATCGCAAATTAATTTTATTTATTTATTTAAGAAAATTTATACAGTGCCCAACTCACTCTCAATGACTCTAGGTGGCTTACAAGAATAAAACACCAATACAAAAAGCAATAACATCCCAACCCCAATCCCCAAAAAGTGTTTACCATTTTTTTATAACCACACTCTGTATTGGGGTCAGTTTTTGCCTTGGATCTGCAGCCAGTATAAAGGAATAGAAAATAGATGTGTTGGAGTACAGCATCCATTTTTTTTAACCATTAACCATTCTTGCTTGGCTTAATAAATGTTGGGACCCAACGAATTTGAAAAGAGGCAAAATGGGAGAGGCTAATTTAGAATATTATCCTGGTAAATCCAAAGAATTTTTTTTAAAAAAATCTGGCATAGTTTGGTTTAGCCATTGTTTCCATAAGAATGTTCCCACAGAACAGCAGAAAGGAGCCCTTTTTTCAAGGACAACATTGCCTTAGTGGCAGGGTGGGCCAGACCCTGCACAAAAAAAGTGGGGGAGCAGCCTTTTTTTCCTCTGCCATCCAACTTTTCATCTCCTAGTCCAGTGGAAGAGGAAGCTGTTGCCAAAGGAGAGCTTTTTTAATTGCATCAAGTACAGATACTCCAGAGGCTTTGTTTTAATCCTTAGTGCAGTTGTTTTCTTTTGGTATGTTGGTGCTTTGTTTACATATCCGCTGATGCAATTCACTTAAAAACACTAAGAGGGGCTCTCTTGAGGGGGGAAAAATGCATGTCTCATCTTATCCAAAATTCCCCCACTATTTAATCACTTACCTTAAGGATGAGAAATATATGATTATTGGCTTTCAGAATGCATACTGTCTCTAGAAAACAATCCCTCTAGTTCTTAAAATTCAAAAAAGGGATATGACTTGGGTCCTTTCTAAGAGACCTCCTTTGCCAATCAACATCTTGTGAAAGGGGAAAATAGAAACTGCTCTGTTTTTTATCTCCAAAACACAGCATCAAGCTATCAATGAGGAACAGGAGTTGTATTCTTAACTCCTATGAATTGAGCTATATTTGTATGAATATATAAGTCTTTCTCTAGCTGATGTGCTCAGGCACATTAAACGCTGACTCTGGCATGCTGACTAGGAATGCTGTAAGTTGGAGAAATAGGCTGGAGAAGTCCTGCCAAGAAGCCCTGGGAATAAATGGGAGAGGCTAATTTAGAATATTATCCTGGTAAATCCAAAGAATTTTTTTTAAAAAAATCTGGCATAGTTTGGTTTAGCCATTGTTTCCATAAGAATGTTCCCACAGAACAGCAGAAAGGAGCCCTTTTTTCAAGGACAACATTGCCTTAGTTTACAAAAAAAGTGGGGGAGCAGCCTTTTTTTCCTCTGCCATCCAACTTTTCATCTCCTAGTCCAGTGGAAGAGGAAGCTGTTGCCAAAGGAGAGCTTTTTTAATTGCAAAATTAATAATGTGACTTGGGTTGGTGCTTTGTTTACATATCCGCTGATGCAATTCACTTAAAAACACTAAGAGGGGCTCTCTTGAGGGGGGAAAAATGCCTCATCTTATCCAAAATTCCCCCACTATTTAATCACTTACCTTAAGGATGAGAAATATATGATTATTGGCTTTCAAACATACTGTCTCTAGAAAACAATCCCTCTAGTTCTTAAAATTCAAAAAAGGGATATGACTTGGGTCCTTTCTAAGAGACCTCCTTTGCCAATCAACATCTTGTGAAAGGGGAAAATAGAAACTGCTCTGTTTTTTATCTCCAAAACACAGCATCAAGCTATCAATGAGGAACAGGAGTTGTATTCTTAACTCCTATGAATTGAGCTATATTTGTATGAATATATAAGTCTTTCTCTAGCTGATGTGCTCAGGCACATTAAACGCTGACTCTGGCATGCTGACTAGGAATGCTGTAAGTTGGAGAAATAGGCTGGAGAAGTCCTGCCAAGAAGCCCTGGGAATAAATCCCATTCATTTTGAACATTCTGCAATAGTTTAAAAATGGTTTCCTTAGAGTTGATGAAAATTAATAATGTTGCAGTGTTATAATTTACCTGAGCTGCCTATAATTAAAAATTATTGAAATGATAGTAAACACTTTAGTGAAGATGTTGATTCAATGTGTGGCAGCAGTGAAAGAGGCAAATTCTATGCTAGTGATCATTAGGAAAGGGATGGAAAATAAAAGTGTCCATGACATATCTGCAGTGC